TGCTCACCTGGGCTGCTCACCTGGGCTGCTCACCTGGGCTGCTCACCTGGGCTGCTTACCTGGGCTGCTCACCTGGGCAGCTCACCTGTTCAGCTCACCTGGGCAGCTCACCTGGGCTGCTCACCTGGGCTGCTCACCTGTTCAGCTCACTTGGGCAGCTGCCTCGTCTGTCTGCAGCTGTAATCAGCCTCAGTCTTGTTAACTTGGGCCACAGTGGTCAGAGAAACAGGTTCAGTCTGTAGAGGCTGTGATCTGATCTGATAGTGAGCAGAAATGTTCTAGTGAGCGATCTCCAGTCACTGCGGGGCTGAGCGCTGAGCGGGAGGAGACACACGGCCAGCTGCGTAGATATATGTGATCAGATAGGAGGCGATGGGCGAGCGCCGGCCATGTGTGGCGAGCGAGCGAGTCCGAGGGAAACGCTTCTCATTAATGAGGGCAAAGACTGGAAGCCTTAGGAGCTGTGATTAGATGAAGTGCAGCAGATCTAGGATTAGGATTGCAGCTGAGAACATGCTCATCTCAGCCTTAATCTAGTTAACTAGTTTCTATAGTGTAGCTGCAGGGAAGGCGCCATTAAGCCATGAATGCCAGTAGATCCACACCTGAGACGCGCTCCTCCAGTCTCACTCAGGATGGAGCAGAATTTAGGTTCATAGAAATGATGAAACTATTAATCAGATTAATCGATTATTGAAATAATCCTCAACTAAATTAGTGATCAATCATTAACTGGAGTATAGAGAATGTAAAACCTGCCTGTAGCTGACAGAGCGACCCGATAGAGCAGCAATTATTCAGAGATTCTTAAAAAACATATAAACATTTTGCATTTAAGATAAAAAGATGTTTCCTTCTGTCAATGTGCTCTCTAAAGTTTTAGTTTTACCTGCTTTAATTTTGTAAAAAATCTTTTTGCAGCTAACCATTATTTTCAGCGGAACCTTTGGCAATCTGATTATTAATTAAACGAGACGTTAATCGATTAGCAAAATAATAATTAGCTGCATCCCTAGAAGAAATGGGGCATTTAAACCTCTTCATGTTATAATCTAGGTTCTTATCTAGTAAAGTTTTATTTTAAATAAAATGCTTTACATATAAAATGAAATGATAAAGTGATACTCCTTTATAAAATCAAGTTTACTCTGTTGTTTTGATATTTTACCTTATTCATCTAAATACAGCTGCTTTTCTGACAGTTTTAAAGGTTTTTCTAGATGGGGTGAAGTTTAAAAAAGTTTAAAATAAGTTCATATCTGAAAATCATGTTCAAGATAGAAACATTTTTAATCGTTTAATCTATCGTTTAGAAAATCAAACCAACTAAAAACCTTCCAAAAAGAACTAGCAGGCAGGGAGAGAAATACAGCAAAGATGCTCAGAGATACTCTGGGAGACTAAATGTCCACAGATCAGATGGATCAGAACATCTGGCCTTAAAATGATGGAGAGAAACTTCCCACCAGCTGTGCAGGGAGCACCGCTGGTGGAGAAACTGTTATTCCTGTCAGATGAGACCAGAATATCATTTTTTGACACGTGGGCCAAACCCTGCAGGAGAAAAAGGAAAACAAACCTGAACACATAACCCCCCCCCCCCTTATAAATACAGTGGCGTTAAAGGAAAAGTCCGTCCGAAGAAATTGATCAGATAGAAAAGCCCCGTCTGAGGCTCCAGGACTCCAGATTCAGAGTCACAAACAGCTGAAACAGAAAGGAACCGTTTCAGGAGAGAATCACCACCGTGCATCAACAACTCCATCA